CGCATGTGTCACAGTAAAGGACTGGACAGTGGAGGATGGGGAGATTTGAAGACATTTAAAGTAGCAGCTGAAGAGGATCTTTCTGTCTGACATCTTTCAAAGCCGAGACCTTGAAGGAGTCACTAGGGTAACCAAGTCACCTTCAGGTGGGGCTAGGATAGTGAGTTAAGACAAAAGTTCCAGTAAGAAGTCAGTGTGAATCTTTTCTGTGCCTAGTTATATATAAAAACCAAATGAGTCATTTCTCCTTTCTGATGTGTGGAAACTTATATGAATTCCCTTTTTTATTAATGTGGTACATCAATAAACTGTATACTTGTTGCTTACATCAGTACTCTAAATATAAAAGGGAAAAAATAAATCATCTGATATTCTACTTATGAAGTGAACCCACTGCAAAAGAAAATGGCTAATTCCTCATAGCTTCAAGAAAGTACTTGACCTCGAGAGGTGCATCCAAGAGTAACTAACTATCCAGAGTAGATACTTTCTCCAGCTGATTCCTGTTTCCACTCCTAGCTCATCTGAAAGAGAACTATGTGGAATGTTTGTCTTCAGACTTGCTTAGTGATAAATGTTTCTATCATATATATTTATATACGTATGTATATATATACATATATTTGAAAAGTGCCCAGATTCTTTTAAAATTTTGTCTCAATGGCAACATACTTGATGGACTGACATTTGGGCTACAGTGGCACAAGAACATTGCCAGTAACCAATGCTGTGAATGCACACGCCTACCTGATTTATCCACTGGGCTCAGCTTGGTTCCAGGGGTTTTGTTTCATGTTTATTGAAATTCCTATCAGAACACAAAATGCTGAACATCACCCAAAACAAAACAACAAATCAACTAATCAATCAATCAATAAATAAAAGCTTAAACAATATATACAGGAATGTTGCTTGATGAAGAACCAAAAAAAGTTTATATATTGTTTATTTTTCCTTAGCTCATTAATAGATTCTCTAAGCTTGAAGATTTGTAGTAATTATAAAGTCTCAAGTATTGAGTCTTTGTTTTTTCATTTGCCTCTGTGCTTCACAAACACAAACTAAAAAATAGAAAAAAAAACATAGAAGATACTGTCTTTCATATACGTGTGTGTGCACAAACATAATAGAAAACAGTCTTGATTCAAGTAGTTTGGTTATTTCTAAAGGTTTCCTTTTGCTATTTACCATTTCAGGAAGAATGTAAGGGTTACAATAGGTATCATATTTCTATACATAAAATAAGCCTATACTAACTGCATGTCACACAAATATGTAAATTTTTGGTTTATTTAAAAATACTACAAATATAAAATAATTCCAGTTTTAGGAAATTCAGTTGTAGCTTAAGGGAAAGCCATAAACTCTTCCAGGATAGAATTATTCTTTCAAATAGGCTATTGGGTTTTATTTTATTTTTTATTGAATACATATGTACCTACTGGTTTTACATTTTCTTGTAGAAGGGAAAGAGGTTGAGATTGAGTAGGCTACATGCCATGCATTATTTTTAACAGACATTGTGTTATGTTAGAGGGAAAAACATTTTCAATGGATGTGGAAAGAGTTTCTGGTTGTCTCCATATGGTTGATTCTGTGCTCCTCTATGATAACAGATAGCTTGATTTTCAGTTTGGCACATCGCCACTAGCTCAACATCATATTTCACAAACTCCCTTGTGAGGTGTGGCTCTTTAAGAAGCCCTGCATATGTGATGTGCATTCAACTTCCAGAACATGTGCTCCTTCTCCTCCCTCCTTTCTACAGCTCAAAGGTGGGCAATATGGCGGGCTATCTATCTCCAGCTATGTGAAGGAGAAAGCATCTTAATGATGGTTGCATGAAAATCTGGAGGAAACCTGCAACCCAGATCTGACTGTGGGATCGATGTGCCATTCCTGAACCACCTTAATCCAGACAGCTATACAACAGCAAATAAAGATTCATCATTTTTATGCGTTAGGCATTTAAGATATCTGTTATGAACAAAGAGATGCCCTAAGAAAGAAGAAATTCGATGCCTAAAAGTTGAGTAATGGCCAAGACAAAACCCTAAATAAACATGAATACCAAGGGCTCAGATAATAGAAGCCAAAAAGGTATAAACATTTGTTATGCTGTGGCAAAACAGATGATAAAACTATTACTGTGAAATGTTAGCAGACCACATGCAACAGTCACAGCATCAGGGAAAATTGCAAGAGTGATTCAATGTGTTGTATTATATTTGTTACTTTTTGATATCTTAAATTCTACAGAAGTAGATTCAAGTGAGAGTGAATCAGTTTGGTGGAGGACTACATCTTGAAACACAAATATGCCCAGTTTGGTGATTTTACTATAGAAAGTTAACACTAACTACACAGAAATAGTTTTTACAGTAGTCCAGGCCCCGCATTCATGTTTTACCTATTTTCGGCAACTTAATCTTCAAACAACCCAACAAAGTAGGCAACATTTCCATCCTATTTTAGAGATGAGGATTGGAGAGATGAAATAAATTGCCAGTTGAAGAGGTGATCTTGAAAAACTAGTTTGAACTAGGTTGTTTCCAAAATCTGTATTTCTTTTTCTTTCATTGAGTTTATTGGTTCATTTTAGGTATACAGTACAGTTACATTCATCATTGGGATCTTGTACCTTTACATGACAGGTCTTGGTTCTCATTTTTCCCCCTTGTCCCTGCCCTCCCTTCACCCCTCCTCCCCTCCCCCTTTACAAACACTTCATTTCCATTTTCTCATATTTTTTCCTTTTCCCTTATTAGCTTTCCCCTACCCTTCCCACTTTCCCTACACCTTTAGCCCCTCTCTGCCTATTTCATATTGTCCATTATATCATTAGCATCTTATTTATTATTATAGTTTAGTCACACCAGAGAAAGTTTTCAGTATTTACATGTGTGACTTATTTATTTCACATAGGAGTATATCCTCAATATGTATCCATTTTCCTATGAATGAATCTAATTTCTCATTCTTTATGGCTGAGTAATATTCCATTTTATAGAAAAGCACATCTTTTTTATCCAGTTTCCAACTGATGGGCAAATGGTCTATTTCCAAGTTTTAGCTATTACAAACTGTGCCGCTATAAACATGGGTGTGCATATATCACTCTGGTATGTAATTCTCTTGGAAAGATACCCAGCAGAGGGATGGCTGCGTCAAATGGAACCTGTAGTCCCAGCTCTTTGAGGTATCTCCATATTGATTTCCATAGTGGTTAAAGTCTGTATTTCTAACTGCTACACTAATTAGTCAGTAACGTGGGCCTTAGGATTGAAAAGGCTAATTTGTCTTTGTACCTCAGACTGAAAAACAGCAGATTTAGCATAAGACAAGTCAGAGCCTAAGAGTCTTTTCTAGGCACCTATAGTTAATAGTTCTCTGCCAGAATATGGGAGTGAGGGGAAGCAAAGATTGGTCGCTGAATTGAAGCTCATGGTTTCAAATGGCTTTAGAAAGCCAGAAGGCACATAGTGGCACCAGAGTCAATAAATAAAAGACCTTACCCTTAGTGTGAAAAGCTGAGATCAGAAGACTTTTATCTATTGTTACTAACACATGGGATGTACCTGAGCACATAAACAGGGAACCTGTCTCATATTTGAAGAAATTATACTACTAGAGGACTAAAATCCTATCCAATTCTCAAGTAATTTCTTTGACCTCCAAATCAGTACTAGTAAAAGGCAGGCTATAAAAGTGGGGCAGGATGAAAAGACACCCTCTCTCATGTCTCAGATGAGCCTCAAAGGATAATGAACAGGAAAGGACCACTCAGAGGCACTTTTGGCTGGGATAACCTAGCAACTCATTCTACTCACAGGAAAAGAGTCACAGTTATCACTGCCCAGCAGGATGTGATAACTTCCAAGATTGTTCAGCTTACAGGTCTCATTTTTCCAAATGGGATTTTTTTTTGTTATAACTGCCTCATTTCTTTCTTTCTTTCTTTTTTCTTATTTTGCTGTTGGAGGCAGATAAATGAACCATCAGGAGCCATACCTGTACCTATCAGAGGTGATTGTCAGTCAACCATCTAAGACTGGATGGGCTTTTGATATCTCTCTCTTGAGGATATAGGAGGGTTTTGTGGAAAGAAAAGTGCACGTAGGTGTTTGGGTGGTCAAAGTGGCAAGGGGTAATAGATTCTGGTAGTTGTCCTTATAGCATTCATTTTGCTTTTCTTCTATATAAAGCTGGGATCATGATAAATAGTAACAAAGACTTTTTGTGTGCAATTTTAAAACATACCCTTAAAGGAAATAGGTACCTTCTTTGCCTCTTCTTTCATCTTATTTCTGAAACACAGATATACTGGCTAGAGATCCATTGTGGATGGATAATGCACCTCTCCCTTCCCCCTAGATATCTACATTTTAGTCTTTCAAATGTATTACTTTATATATGATTAAATTAAGTCTCTTAAGGAAGGGAGATTATGTTGCATTACCCAGATAGCCCTGTTTTTACTGCAATAACAGTATACCACAGGCTGGGTAAATTGCAAACAGTAGAAGTTTATTTGGCTTGCGGTTCTGGAGACTGGGAAGCTGAGAAAACGGAGCCATCACCTGGCAAGGGCCTTCATGCTACCTCATTCCATGTAGGAGGGAGGAAGAGAAAGTAAGAATGTGAGACCAAGAAAGGAAAGGGGGGCCAAAGTGTCCCACTTTATATGTGCTGCAGAAGTGCCAGGCTCCATCCTGCAGGAGAGCGAGCCTATGTCCTTTCCCCTCTTGAAGGGCTTACCTCTTAACATTGTCCCAACCACAATTACATTTCCCATGAATTTTGGAGAGGACGTTCAAATCATATCAGACCGTAACATAATCATGTATCTTCTTATATGAAGGAAACAGAGATTTGACACAGGCTGAAGAGGAGAAAGCAATGCAGTCACAGAGACTGTGGCTTTTTGACCAGGAGCGCACACAGCACAGGAAGCTGGAAGAGGCAAGACATGGATTCTCCCCAAGGGTTCTGGAGGGAGCGCAGTCTTCTTGTTTTGGGCCTGGGGAAACGTGATAGATTAATGGCTTTAGAAGTAGGAGAGGTGAAATCTTTGCTGCAATAAGCCATCACATTTGTGGTCACTCATTTTAGCATTGCTAGAAAACTAAGTATCCACCATAAATGAGGAGAATGAGAACTATATTGTGGGAAAGGTGGAGGGAATGGAAGTTTGGAAATTGCTAAGATGCCAGATGACTATGGAGCCTCCATAGCACCTCTGAGCTTCCTTCCTCAAATTTTTAAACACGAGAAAGTGACGGATTTCAATCTTCTTTCAGTCACAATAATTTGGAGTGTCTGCTACAGGGAGCCAAACCTAAAAATAAGCAGAAATTGTGTCATTTAACCCTCTGTCTCCTAGCCAAAATGTAAATCATACAAAAATCATACAGAACAAATAGATGCCTACCCTAGACATACAATTTAGTATCACTTTTTCCAAACAGTAATAAAAAGAAAGGAGGTAAGAAAATCCATTTTCATCTGAGGTTGGCACCACATGCTTGCTTCCATGTCTGAAATCTAGATAGGTAGAAATGATTTTTTTTTTAACTGCAAAAGGCTTTATAAATCAGAAAAATGGTTTCAGTAGTGTTAAAATAAGCATGATACACTGTTATTTGAATGCTTTATACAAAGTAGAAATTCTGGGATTCTTGAATACATAGAAGATGACTTTAAATAACTGTTTTTGACCAGGATTTTCTTCTATTATTGGGGATTATCTCATTATCAGCTGTCCCTTTTGTTTATTTGAAAGGATTTTGCTTCAGTCTCAGACCCAAGCTTCATGACCTGGAAAGAGTTCTGGAACCTCTGTGTGGCTGTCAGTTGGTTTGGCTTTGGGATTTACCCAGGGGATCGGTGAAATACAATTCAGGGTGTGTCTGGGTAAGCCATGGAGGCATGGCTTTGGGGTCAATGTTGCCCACCCTTCCCTCTCTGGTACTGGTCTCACTCTGCTTCCCAGCCACCATGAACCAAGCAGTTCTGCTCCACCATACATTTCTGACATGATGTTTCCACCTCGGAGCCTGCTAACCATGCACTGAATCTCCTTAAAACATGAGCCAAGTTAAAACTCTCCTTTAAATTATCAGTGCCAGGTAGTGTGTCCAGGACAGGAAAGCTGACTAATTCATGCTGTAAGCCTGTTTTCTCATTGGTAAATGGAGCTCCTATATATGCCAGCATATAAGTGAGATGAGGTTGTCATAAGTGCCTGCCACAATGTAAAAGCTTAATAATTAGAAAGTAATATTAGCTCTTGCCATCAGGATGAGATGCATCTATTAAGGAATGCAGAGAAGCAGTAATAAATACAGACATAATTTAAATGAAAAGTCATTTAAGTTAATCCATACCTACTAAAGATATACTTTATACAAAAATTTAGTTTGCATGGAATATCTTCCTTTACCACTTTCCAGTCACAACAGGAATTGTATTTCGCCAAGGTTTGAAACATGAAGCATTTGTTTTGAAAGTGTCAGCAGAAAGAGTAATTGGGGGCTAAAGAGGGACTAGGAGGGTGGTATGGATGGAAGAGGGGAGGAAAGGTTTTAGCAATGAAACTTTGGGCAAGATGCAGGAGGACTGAAAAGGCAAGGAGGAAAACTGAAGCCTGTGTGAGAAGGGATGAGAGAGTTCAAGGCAAAGTTGTTTGTGGGACAACAAACTATACAGTCTTTGTATTAGGGCTAGGTTTGAGAAATACCTCTTCTGATAACTGTGGGTTATTAAAAGTATTTTTCTATATCACGAAACTAAATTATTCTGTAGAACTGAATTATTTTCAATTCTTACTGATCAATTTTCAGTTCTTATTTCAAATCTTATTGATCAGACTCAAGTAAAAGTAACAAAGTTGAGTCAAAAATTCAGAAGCCATTTAAATTAACTCAAGCCCAGGAAGGTAGATGAGAAAACCAACAGGGCCGAGATTTTGACTCATTCCTGTTATTCTGCAAAGTGCATGAACATACTTATCTCATTGAATGCACAAAAATCCTACATCAGCATTTCATATTGTACATGAGAAATAAATGTCTCATCAAGGTCAAACACAACAATAATGACATATTAAGTATTCAAATTAATGAATAGATCATATTAAAATCTATATTCTTTGCATTACATCATGTTGCCAACAAACATCACTGATCCTTTTCTTTCTCGGCCAATTTTTATTTTCTTCCTCTGCACTTTCCTTCACAGACAACAGATCATATAAGTGTCCTCACTGTAATGGGTTTTCAGCAAAGTGGAGAGAATTGGAAACCTGTTGCTCAATATGAGCTTCTCCCCTGTGCCATGATGATTCTCCTCAATGTCTATATAGGACCCTTATAACTTTCTTTTCCTCTTTGAAAGACATTCAACAGTGATGCATTATTGTAAAATAATGGTGACTCCCAAATGGACAAAAGACTTCAGTAAAAGCATGCAGGCTAATGCTAGATAAAGTTCTATATAGATTAGAAATCACTCTATCTCTCTCTTTCTGACATGTGAAAGATGAGAATGAGATTCCAGAATAATCACTAAAGCAACTTCCAGATAACCCAAGAGGAAACAAAAATCATACATTTTTTTCATTTCAAGTTGTGTAGGAAGAGAAAATAGAATCAGTAGGGAGAATATTGGCATGTAGATCAGAAATGCTTTATGTTGCTTTGTGCTCTGAGAGACTATTATTTCTAGACTTCAAGAAAATGTCTTCATATCAGAGAAAGAATTTTTATTTAACTAATATGTATATGTTACAATTCTTCAATGAGTAAATGGAGGCCTTGTCACTGTAAATGAAGAGTTTGCCCTAAGCAACGATGTTTTGAGGAAGGGTACCCAATCCCAGAGTAAGTGTGTTGGAAGGAAATTAGAGCGGCTGGCACTGTTAGTACTGCCAAGTCAGTTTGGCTTTATGGAAGATGAGTGAAATATCACTGATTGATAAATAATTGTCCTCACTGAGGAAGGGGGAGAATCCTCAGGTTCTCTTTTTAACATCTAATCTTAGATGAGAGACAAGGCCACCCAATGATTTGGAGAAAGAAAATAAACAGACTGGCGCTAAAAGTAGGAAGAAAAATCCACGGTTACCCATGAGAGCAGCTTGCACCCAAAAGGAACAACATGGTAGAAGTGTCGTGGGGATAGTCTTCCTCTGCGTGGTGTGGGTCCACAATGGTTGGATTGTTGCCTTGCTGGCAGCGGTGGTGGTATGTCCTCTGCCAACACGTGTCTTTTCTTTTGATAATGGTGTCCAGAACTTTGGCTAAGCAGTTGGACATATTTCCTTGGTTTCTGGCTGGGAACTCAAATCAATAGAACTGTGACATCCTTGAAAAATAATACTTGATTTAGTTAACAGAGGTGTCTGTGTCAGTGTTACATAATCTTGCACTTATTTTTTAAAAAAATTTCTAAAGACTAGAGAGATAAAATACCCTAAAACTGTACCTGTTACAGTAGAGTGATTTAAAAACTACAGTCTCCTTAATGTCACAATTTAATATATAAAATAATTTTGAATCAGTTATTTTATACTTTGTCAGTCTTGTTTTAAACACAGTAGACCATCTCCATATGTCACTGAGCTTGATACACAAACACAGAGTAAAATTATAAAATGCTTTTGGCAATAGAAGGGGTAGATAACAAAATCAAAATCAAAATCATGTTGAAAGTTTAATATCTGTTCTAATTTTATATAAAAAATAAAAAAGAAGATTGCTTTATTTGAGACAGGTTTACATATTTACAACCTATCTGGGTAATATGGAATAGTCTTCTACATAGAGCGTGCAATAATTTCAGATCATATTTTCCAAGAAGCAAGTCATACACTTAAGAAAAAAGTACAATGAAGTTCACTTTATTTTTTAGCCTCCCTTAGATGAGACGGGGGTCAGTTTTCAAGAGTTGTATCCATAATCTAAGGACATTATAGAAGGATCTAGATATTTGCTAAGCTACCCATAATCTCAACTGATCCTCAATCATTGACTTACTCAGGCAGCCTCTGAGAAGTCTGTTGGTCTTACCCATCGCTTCAGATATGATAGTTGTTCCAAGCCAGGCCTGGGGAACTCATGTGGTTTTGCTCTCTCTGTGCTGAGGCATGAGAACTATCCTCTCCTTATGGCTCCATCTATCTGCACAAAACAAACAGCCAAGGCCTCTTCCTGAGACTAACAACATGACATACAGGGAAATGGTGGGGCGGGGTGTGTGGGGAGGATTCACTTCTCCCTAGGACTTCAAGACATTCTCCATTTGACTTCCAATTGTCCTGTCTTTTGTCTCATCCAAATGAATTGTTTTCTAAACTGTGGCAAGGAAGTGACCAACTGTCTTATGATTTTTCTCCTATTTGCTTGGTTTTTGCATGAGTCTTCAGAATTGCTCAAGCGCTGGGTTGAGACATTTCTGGCTAGATATTTTGTGATTGTAGGGTTGTCCTATGCACTTGAGAATGTTTAGTAGTATCCTTGGCTTCCATGTGGTAGGTAGGAGTCACATTTCAAGTTATGACCACAGAAAATTATCTTCAGATCCTGCCAAAGGTTATCAAGGACCTTGACGTTCCCATGGACAGGAACTTCTGCTTTTTAAAAGTATAAGATTTTGGAAACTAACACTGTCAGATTTTCTGGAAACCAAAAATATTCAACAGAAAGGTTGGCATAAAAGAGGCGAAAGGACAGATGAGAAAGTGGGAGTTTATGTTTTAAATTTTCCATATTATCTGCTGCTTGACCTGCAGGAAAAGGGGATGGAAATGCAAAACAGCTACACACAAACACTTTCTTCTGAACATAGAATCACTGATGCTCACAGATTTCTGACTTGGCATTTCTTAATGAAGTATTTCTTTTCTCTTTATCAGCCACAGCTTTAACATTTCTAAGGGAAATTTTACAGCATTGCTGCAAAAAAGCATATGAAAATGAATGCAAATAAAAGATTTAAGAAACATATATATACTAGTTGTTCTAAACCTCAAGCTTCTAAAATACAGGATTTTCCTACATTGTTAGTCAGACAATGTCATATAGAACATCATATATCATTTTATTGAACTCATACAAACACCAAGTCTAAACATGTATTAATAGCATCAACAATGTCACACTCCTTGAAGAATAACAAAAGCAGTTAATTGTAAAGAGCTCAACTTCTGGGACATTTTGAGTTTCTGAACTTTAGGGAAAGAGAGTCATTTACCTTGCATTTCCTCGTGACTGATCTATGATCAGTTCGATAGAAATGTCAAGGCTGTTGACAGACCAAGAATGATGAAGGTGGATTTATGGCTTTTGTCAATAGACCTGGCAATCAATTGCCCCCAAGACCAAATATTTCCTCCAATAAGTAACTCTTGAGAAGAGGTATCCAGATGCAGTTCATATCCAGGTGTCACGTTAGCTTTTTGGACTCTTTCTCAATTGCCTTTCCCCGGGCAAAGGAAATTTGAAAACCTACAAAGATCACCAAGCTTGCTTTCTTCCAGTCAGTGTTTACTAAACAAGGGATGGGCAGATGTGTTCGTTCTAGTAGCCAGTAAATATGGTTTGAGAAACCTTAGGGCAGTTAGTTAGGATGTTTACCAATGAAGACTTTGTTTCCATCTGTAAGTTGATCACATAAGAAAGAATTTAAAACATTTGATGTTGAACATTTATCTTTTTTTTTCCCCAAGGATGGTGGTTTTTAAACCCACTGCACTTGCGTTAGTGCTAACACTGGGGAAAATGAGAGCTAATTATTTTGCTTTGAAATTATTTGTTTTCACAGTATGGATGTCTGACCTCCAAAGGTGAAAGTCTGACATTATGAGTTATTCTGTATATAACACTTGTTTCTCTTATACCAACTAAATATGTTTTATATTTTCAGGTTTTATTATATTCTATTAATTCTTCTAATTGTATACTCAAAATTTTCATCAATAAATGTAAACATCTGAATTTAAAGTCAACAAACTTGAAAATATATTTCATTGGTAACCAAGAGAAAATATTTTTTACATTAGTAAACAACAAAATGCAAATTAAATAAAAAATAACACACATTTTTACTTATCAAGTTTTAAGAGATAAAAATAATTTAGGGTACTTAATACTGGAGATATTGTCTTATTGGAGAAATAAATTTTATAGCTCCTTTGGAAAATATTCTGACAATGCAGAGAAAGAGTCTTTTAAATTTCCTAGTCTGAGACAGGTAATTTTAAATCTGAGATTCTATCCAAAGAAAATCATTTTAAATAGAAAGAAAGTTTTGCATACAAAGTTCCTCATTGTAGTACTATTAATTCATGGTGTATCCACTCTAAAAATCTGTATGTAGATAATCAGTATGCTAATAATTAGCTGTATTGATAGAAAAATTTTAAGTTATAATAATTAGTAAAAAGAGCACTACACCAATTTATATATATAAATTATCATCAAAATTAAATAAAAGTAATGTTTAGAAGAAAGACTAAAATACTGTAAAATATTAATATGGACTGGATTTCTGTAGTGAGAATATATTTTAAAGTTAAATTTTCCAAAATTTCTATATTGATCTTTTCTTTTTTCTATATTGAGAATAAAATTAATTTTATTTTTCAATATGTGTATACATTCTTAAGTGACCCACTCTTCAGTGCTAATCTTCATATGTAGAATTTTTAGACTAATGACTGTATTTTTCTTTCAAATGGAAAACTCCAGAATCACAATCTTAGTCCCACCAGTTTTTCAGTCAAGCTTAAGCAACCTTTAATAAAATTAATCATCCTTCTTAGGAGAATGATAAATTTATGTTTCATAATTTTCTGAAATTTTTCTATATTACTAGGCAATTTTATTTCCAGGATGGAATGCATTCAATATTTTCTGTTAAAGTTGCATAATATCTTCTAAAATTATCTACAGTTCTCAGTTATAGCTTGTGTTCCTTTACTTATTTTCTTCCTGGTATTATACTTACCTTTTAGCTAGAATTTCAAGACGTTCTCATTTTTCTGTTTGATAAGAAAAAGGAAAAAGAAAGAAATAAGCCTTCCTTCTCTGCTCTTCTTGTGGAAGAGGTATTTTGGGAGTGTAGCACAAGGGAGGTACCAGAACTCGTGTTACAATTGTCCTCAGTCACTGGCTGTCACAGTATTTCTGGAATATGGAGCAATTTCTAGGTCTCAGTGTGTGTGTGTGTGTGTGTGTGTGTGTGTGTGTGTGTGTGTGTGTGTGTGTGAGCGTGTACTAGAATATCAGCAAAACTGAAAAATACAAAATATCATTTAATTTCAACAATCTTAACTAATCCTTACATAGTGCTCCATGAGGCTGGGGTGGCCCCCAATCGCAAGCCACTCACAGACCTATGCAATCAGAAAGCAAACTTTTTTTTTGTTGTTGTTTTGTCTTGTTTTTGTGGTACCGGGGATCGAACTCGAGTCCTTGAGCTTGCCCCGCAGGCCACTGAACCACTGAGCTAAATCCCCAGCCCAGAAAGCAAACTCTTTAGTGATTCTGATGCACACTACAATTTAAGAACCTTTGCTTAAGAAGCGTACTTTTGTTTGAGAAGCACACTACAGAGTAGTATGCAAGTTAATTTTGTACAGTATATTTTGAGTAGTATTCAGATTAGCCAAAGATCTCCTTGGTTTTGGAGATATTTATTTTTACGGCTTGAACCCTATCTAGTTTTCCTCTTTTACCTTGTACGTGTTAGCGCTTCTCTCTGTAATCCCTTTATGAATCTGATTTTCCTTTCCTTCTGCTCTGAAGCTGTTCTTTCGTGGTTGGATTCAGTGGGCCACGATGTTGGGATATGTGAGGCAGCAGAAATCCTTAAGGTTTCCTTTTCTACGTAACCTTCATAGAATGGTCTTTGTGGACTGTGTGCTGCTAATTCCTCTACCTTTCTTATTTAAAACACTTCAACTTGTCACAAACCAGGCTTACACACTCCTGGGAGCAACATCTGTAGCAGGTGTTTGGCTTTCACATATTCTCACCCAAATAATAATAATAAAAAAAAAACACCAAACTTTCATCTCCTCCCTCTCAATTCAAATTCACAAAATGATCTTCAGTTAGAGTGTAAAAATTCATACAGATTTATTTGCATCTCTATCAAATGTTCTTTGATCAGCATTCTGAGGATGTCCAGAGAGAGGATCTGTAATTGTTATGCTGGATCTGTTAAAGAGTATGCTTTCCAGCCACCCCATATTTTCGTTTCCAAATTTATGTTCCAGAATTCACTATTTTTCAAATTCTAAACTTACTCAAACTCTTTCATGCCTGGGTAATGATCCCAGTGAATTATTTATTATATTTCCCTAATATAGATTTTCAGAGTATTTTATCTTTATCCCATTTATTTCATGCTGGTGAACAGGGTAGTGTCTACTGGCTGATAAGGAAGACAATGTGATTTGGAAGATGGCAAATTGCATCCTTGCAAAATGTCCATCTTAATAGTATGAAACAAGTCAAATTTCCCAGCTCTAATCTCCATCCCCGACACCTGCTTTATATTTTCATCTCCTTGCTTGGTGTCACTCAGCCTTCTACTATGTACTCTTAACTGTGCAAAACTCGTATAACTGTATTGTGCATCACATGTGATCTGCTCAAACCATTAAAACACAGCTCTCTGGGGTACCAGGCACTCTGATTCAGTAGGTCATGAGCAGGGCCAGACATCTGACATTTCTATCAAGCTCACACACACTGTCCCTGCTGGTGTGAGAAAGACATCTTGAGTATCATTCATTTTCTCAATTGTTTCATGCTATATCTTTCATTTTTATGGGGGAGGCAGACATTGTTGCTATCTCAACCATCCAACAACCATTTTCCCTTTCTCCTTAATAATAGATTTTAATTTTATGCAGGCACTCACCAAAGTCTCTTGTTTTAGGAAAGCCAACTTTCAATTCGCCTCCCAGAATGAGAGTTTTAGTGAGTTTAAAGTAATAGAGTTAAGAAATTGAAAGTAACAGGAATTTTATTCCCTTGGGAATTGCTTAATATGAAGCATGAGTAAAGTTGGCTGAGGGACTGACTTAAAGGGAATACTTTTTGCTTTTCTTTCTTTTTTCTTTTTAAGGATTTTGATTTCTCAGTAAGACATATCTATAAGAGATAGAAACCTTTCCCACTCCAGGACTGATAAAGTGTGATTGCAAGAGTGCTGCATCCAGCTCATGACCAGCAAATTATATCAAGACATCAGGTTGTACTTCATAACTATATTCAATAAAAGAAAGGAAGAGCTTGCCAGATATTGAAACAGCTGAGTGAAAAGAAAGAAAACAATTAGGTTCTTAAGATAGTGATAAACCAACAAGTTAACTAACCTGGAGCCATTTTGTCTCAGGATGTCTTATTACGTGGGACTTCTGTTTCCTGCAGATAATAACATATAAATCAATATTATCTGTCTTTATTACCTATCTGTCTATCCATCTATCTTTAACTTGTCTCTACAATGAGATTATATTTCCTTAGTAAGTATTTGATGATCAGACTAGGTAGTGCTCATGCTGTTCAAATACAGCTATGTTAGTTGGGACGGGTAGCTACCATCCATCAACATCATCTCAATAAATGATCATATTTTTGTCCTAGTGGTTTTCTTCTGTCACAGATTTGGAAGGAATGAAATACAGGAAAATTAAATGTGATGGGATGTGTTGAAGAAGACAAAAAGTTCAGGTTCTATTCAGGAGGGCAGCAGAACGGCCAGCCTGGATTGTTACAGGAAGAGACTGAGGAACATCTGCTTTCAGAATATTTTTTTCTGAGGTTCCTTCTTGCATTCTTAAACCTCAACAATTCATGCTTGTCCACCTTGCATTCAGCTTGATTTTTTAAAAAAATCTGATCAGTCATTCTCTGTAAAACACTTTCAAGTCCGCCAGCTTGGTGGCGCATGACTAATCCCAGCACTTGGGAGGCTGAGGCAGGAGGATTGCTGTGAATTCAAGACCAGCCTGTGCTACACAGTCAGTTCCAGGTCAGGCTCAACTGCATAGTGAGACCGTGTCTCAAAAAACCAAAAAAAAAAAAAAAAAAAAAAAAAAAAAAAAAAAAAAAAAAAAAAGAAAAGAAAAGAAAAGAAAAGAAAATCCCTTTCAAGTCTTCCTATTTCCTTGAGATAAGCATGTGAAATCCTTAACTTGGCCTACAAGAGCCTGAAGAAGCTGGTTCCCACCTGTCTCTCAGACTCATCTTATGCCACTCCTACTGCCCTTTTTTCTTTTGCTTTAGCCTTAAAGGCCTGCTTTCTATTTTGTGTTTGTGCCATGTGCTTATTGTCTCAAAACTTTTATTTATGCATTTATTCATTCATTCATTTATCCATTCATTCACTGGTAGACACTTGTAATGCACAATATTGAGATTCCTTTTTGCTATATTGGCACAAACGCAAAACATATTGACTCTGTTCATTCCTATTACCACTCTCTCCTTCCTTCCTGTCTCCCTGACCACCTTCTAGATCTCTAAAAGTCTACCTCTCACAAATTTTTATGTACAACACTTTGCTTCCTAAAAAAGCATTCACCACATCTTTAACACTTTGCCTTTCATCTGTCACAGCTCAGCTTAAATGTGACAGGCTTTCTATACACTTTTCTATATTGTAGAATACAAAAACTTTTCTATAGATTAGAAGAACTTGTGTTCTTATCTGATACATAATTCTCTTTTGTGATACTTATCACAGTTTTAATTGTGTAATTAAACATGCAATTAATTATTTAGTGTCTGTCTCCTAAATTACCATGTAAGCCCTGAAGGGTAAGAACACATCTGTTTACTACCACATCCTTAGCAGCAGACGCTAAACACAGGCTGAAATGATCTCCTTTCCTCAGGCATATTCTGTAATGACTAATTACCTTCACTCACTCTTCCTTCATCAAACTTTCAGTAAGTAATAGTCAACATGTAGCACCACTACAAATGGGCAAAAAGAGACATTAATTTTCTTGCCTCATAGATGAGAAACAGACTCAGGGAAATTAATTCATCTGCTCACATTTGTCCCATTTATGTTAACATTCGAAGTCCAAGAGCTTGATTCCTGCTCTTTGGCTTCTTCTGAACTAGTCACCTTCAGCGCACCATTAATCAGCCTGTTGAGGATGAACATACTCACATTTAAACAAACTACATCTTTCTCCCAACCCCTACACCAGGACACTATGCAGCTTACCCTTCTCTGAGTCATTCTTGGAAAGCATTTGAGAACACATGATGTGACGTACACCAGGCCAACCAAGAATGTGCTTCCACCTCTCCAAGTACAGAGTCAATGGAGTGTTCTAGGAATATCTTTGAGAGGAAAGCAAGAATTTGTAGACTGTGTAGCATGTGCTTAAGTATAAATAGCCAGGAAAACTTGTAAGGGCATAAAAGATTTTCAGCACCTTCTGAGCAAAAGTAATTCTAGGAGGTATATATTAGTGCAGTCATGGAAATTAAGATCCCTGCTATGGCTTTAAACATCTGAAATCAGGAAGTGAGCAACTAAAAGATCTCCTATCATACACTAGAGCTGTGGAGGAAACTTGTGGAACAGTTGGTTTCATTTATCTAAGAACTAAGTGGCCTGAGAAGTTCTTATATAACTGTGGGCTTATCTCTACTTTTTCCTCCCAATACTCTTATGACTAGATAGTCCAAGAATGAGATTCTTCAACACGGGCACTATAGGTGACAAGAAGTTTATATGCTTTTGTTTTCATAGAAGCAAGCAGTTTATCCCTGCTTCAAGAAGAATAAAGACAGGGAAATGGCAAGGGAACAAGTTAAAGATGATAAAGGCCCAGTTTAGGAGCTGTTAGAATGTTTGGGAAATCTCCATTAAAATTTTAACATTCAGGCCGGGGATTTGGCTCAGGGGTTCCGCCACCTGCCTCACAAGTACCAAGGCACTAGTTCTATTCCCGGTACAAAATAACTAACTAAATAAATAAATAATCCATTCAAATTTTATCATCAAAGTTA